ATTTTATCAGACTGAGTGTTATTATAAAATAACTTTTAGTAATTGAGGAGTTAAAATAATTAAAATAATTAAATCATGTTAACTTTGCCATTGTTATAAGTTATGTTGAACATTTAATGAATATTAGTTAAGCATTAGAAATATTTAGTTCTAATACAATTATTGTTATATCAAAACGCTTGTTGATATTCCATTTAAAATATTACAAAAGGTTATTTTTAGAATGGTGAATAAGCGATAATCACTGATAATAAATATTCACCTGACAAAACATCACTGTAAACATAATATTACATGTTCTCTAACCTAGAATTTGTAAATTAATTTAAACTTAAAATCATGATTTCCTATTTTGTTTGCTTTGTTAATTTGGGGTGTAATCATATAAGTTTAAGTATTATAATTTTTAAAATGTGGTAATACAGCAGTTCTACTTTAGTCATGGAAATCAATACTAACTTTATTAAGATTCTTATATATCTGTAACTTGTACATTTTTTAAATTATAGTATTCAACTATTACTTTTAGTTTTTTTGGCTGTTACACTTTTATTCTAAATAAAAATAGGTGATTTTTAAATAATTATATTTGTCACATATATATAAATATATAATATATATGTCAGAGTATAAAAATTTGGATGGAATTATCAATGTAGGAAGTGTTTTAAATAGTAATAAAAGTGATGATAGTGTAAATGTGTAAACTAATTCTAATAAATTTTCTTCATATTCATCTCTAACTAAATCAAATTTCAAGTATGGAACATATAAACCAATAGAATGGACTTTGCAAGTAATATACTAATAAAATTTTATTCTTTAAGTATGACAAATTATAAAATAATATGTATTACTTTTAGTCTATTATGAGCTTGATGTATTCAACTAATGATGGTCGTTTTATTTTGACTGATGCAAAAGTAAACCATGAACATTTATCTAATGATGCTCAAAATACACTTACGAGACTTAATAAATTATTTATTTAAAGACAAAGCTCGGTAATATACACTATGTTATTTTAAATATTTATTATAAATTAAATATGTATGGGTGTAAGTTAAAATAGTTAATATACATGAAAACTTATAGTTCTTATATAAAATAATCATAGATCTTTAATTTTATACTAATTTAATATTTCTATTTATTAAACTTATGTTATATTAAATATTTGTTTTAGAGGAATTGATTTTTAATTTCGGAAAATTTCTTCAATTATCATTGAAATATTTCCCAAAGAACAAGAAGTAGGATATAGGTTTAAAACTATTAAATTAATTTACATTTTTTTTTAAAAATTATCATAATCAATTAATAATAATGATAAATGCAAATAAATACATTTTTCAAATACCCATCAATAAATTTAATAATTAAAGCTCTTTTTCAATTAAGAAAACTATTTGATATTTGATTTACCTACCCTTTTAATAACCAATGTATTTTAAATAAAAACAGATTATAATATTTTTAAATTTAACAAATTAGTTCAAAATTTAAAAATGTATGTATATAAAAGTTTTTAATACATGTTACCTCATTATTATTTTATTTACTGATAGCTATTTTTTAAATTTGAATTTAACACTATTAATAATATATATTAATAAAAAAAAACAAGATTATACATGCTTTTGAACATAAAAAATTAAAAATGAGTTTTAATATTACTATTTTTATCTTATAGAAAGTATATTTTATACTAACAAGTCAAAATAATTCCATGCAACAGAAANACTAACAAGTCAAAATAATTCCATGCAAAAGAAAAATTAGTGAAACATTGACAAAATTGTGTACGCCAGTTTTGGAGCATAGGTGCTATTGAAAGTAAACGAAAAAATAAAAACTTCTCTGAAACATTACCAATTTTAACTATTAATAAATAACTTCATATTTATAACACACATTTACTCAGAAACGTATTAATATCGGTTTTTAGAAAGATGAAGCATATATATTAATTTGTTTACTTAATACATTTATAAATATAAACATTATTAGTAATTAAACTAAGAGAAGATGGTAATTCTCTTAGAAATATTGCACAAACAATAAATAAATCACATTCGACTGTACAATTTATAATAAACCGATATAATGAAACTGGTTCTTTCGAAAATCGAAAACGTAGTGGTCGTCCCCAAAAGTTAAAATTACATCACAGGAGGGCTATTCTAAGAACAGTTGAGACGGAACTAAAAACAAGTGCACCAAAACTTGCTGGTATGATTGATAATGACTATAATGTAAAAACTTCTCTGAAACATTACCAATTTTAACATTCCACACAATTCCTTCACTCGTCAACTCAACTTTTTATCGATATTAAAATAATTTTTACTTAATAAATTAATTTACGGATATCACACTTCTATCTTGAAATATAGTATTATTTTATATCTAAAATATTCAAAATACTACTGGAAAGCCTAATAAAGTTCGTTTTAAAATATACGATTACAACTATTATAAAAATAAATTAAAGTAATTAATATGTTGTATTCTTAAAACAAAAATTATCCTAATTAACCATTTAAATTCCTTGAATAGTTTATTTTAAAAGTGACAATTTTTTTCTAACATTGATAACAAATTTATAACATTGACTTAAGTTGTTTTAATTTAATTTCTAAAATTATTAAATAGCTATCCAAGAGGATACAGAATTTTTGAGTATTTTAATCATAAACTATTGTCCACTGTTAACTTATAACTGCCTTGTGTTTACTTAATTTGACTAGAGCGTAGGAGTATTGCAACAAAATATTTGGGAACTCTAATTACATCATTTTTTACTTAATCTAAAAAATATTTCTATACAACAAGAAAATGAAGATTACATTTGTTTCTTATCCAACTAATAAATCGCAACCATATTGCCGTGACCCGTAGTAATTTATTCCAACTGGAGAATTGATTTAATAGTCTGTCAGGTGTGGTGGCTTGCATTAAAGAAAATTTGATAGGTCGTTGTTCAGTCAATACAAGATCATCGTTTTCTGATCTCAGTGGTGTACTAGGCCATAAACACCTTTCTTCTCCGAGAAAACGAGGTCCGTTCCACCATATTTGTAGTCTAGTGAGTTCAATTGCGCTAATTCCCTTAGACAATGGATCGGCTGGATTGTGGACGGGTGGAACATAATACCAATGTTCAGCGCTGACAGCTTCATTTATTTGTGTCACTCGATTACCTACATAGGTTTTCCATTGAGCTGGTACGCCCTTAATCCAGGCTAATGTCACTGTAGAATCACACCAACAGAAAATGTACTTTTCGGTAATACTCAAACACGCTGCTACACGTTGAGCTAGTTCAGCCAATAGGTGAGCCCCAGTCAATTCTAGGCGAGGTATGCTAATACTTTTTAACGGGGCTACTCTAGATTTAGCACACAATATACGCACGTTCCATGTTTGGTTTTCATTCTGTTGCCTATAATATACACACACGCTCCATAAGCAACTTGTGATGCATCACTAAATCCGTGTAATTCTATTACTCCATTGGACGTAATTTTGACGGGGCGTGGTATACGCAATTTGAATAAATCTTCTAGCTCTTGTACGAAAGTAATCCATCTTGTCTGTAACGTTTCGGGTAACACATCGTTCCAACCTAAGTTAAGCTGCCAAAGCTCTTGCAGAAATATTTTTCCTCTGACTAAAACCGGGCCAAGAAAACCAAGAGGATCAAACACACTATTGAGCGTAGACAACAAATCTCTTTTCGTTTTGGCGCTATTATTTATTTTTAATTCATTCATAAACTTTAATTCATCTGTTACAGGACACCAGTTAAGTCCTAAAGAGCTGACGGTCATATTATCGCCAAGGTCTAATGAGTAATGATCTTGTGTTGACGCAGAAGAAAAATAATCACGTAATTCCTTCGCGTTCGAACACCATTTGCGTAAGCACATACCGCCTTCTTCCAATAATTTCGAGACATCGTTGTATAAAGATTTCGCTTCAACAATGCTATCCGTTCCACTTAGATAGTCATCCATATAGAAATCTTTCCTTATTGATTTACTTGCTATTGGCATCTCTTTAGCTACCAACTCGCTGATTTCTTGTAAAACGCGCTGAAAGGAATGCGACTGGACCTGTGCCATACGTAACGGTGTTAAGTTGAAAGTGTTCTAGTTCTTTATCAGGCGAATCACGCCACATTATTCTCTGGAAAACACGATCTTCAGCATCTACTAAAACATGCCGAGACATCTTTTCTAAATCTGCCGTAACTACTATTAAGTGTACTCTAAATCTCAACACAATGTCAAACAGATCACTCTGGATTGCTGGGCCTTGCACCAAAATATCGTTCAATGACTTACCACTAGTTGTTTTTGCTGAAGCATCAAATACCGCACGTACCTTGGTTGTACTGCTTGCCTCCTTGACTGCATGGTGTGGTAGATAGTAATATTTGCTGTGGGATCCTCAATCTTACTCATGTGCTTAAGTTCTACATATTCTTTCATAAAACTTGTATACTCTTCTCTTAAATATAGTGCATTATCAAGTTTTTTCTCCAGGTTTAAGAACCTACGAAATGCCATCTAAAATGACGAACCTAATTGATCTGGATCCTCAATAAATGGCAATCTTACACAAAATCTTCCATCAGCTTCTCTCTTATATGTATCTTTGAACTTCTTTTCACATGCGTAGTTTGTTTGCCGTCTCGTTCCTTTATTTTCTGTTAGCATCCATCCTTTGAGATTCAGTGGGCATGTTTTAACTGTATTGGTGGTTAAATTACATTGGGTGGGTTGAAGAAGCCCAGATAGTACTCAACCAAAGTCTGTTTCATACAACCATAATGCAGTATTCGGCAAGGCTAATTTTCTTTCCTTTAATATCTCCCAAAAAACTTCAGCTCCTAGTAGCAAATCAATATTAGATCTGATATTGAAGTCAGGATCAGCTAATTGACAGCGTACCCCTGGTGGCCATTCCCAACTTGAAATATCAAATGTTTGATTTGGTAATTTAACTGTCACTTGCGGTAAGATATAACAATCCACACACGTTGACTGCTTAAAGCAACGTGAAGTCACTCTCACGGATGAGCATTCAGCTGAGCTTGTACTTACTCTATTTACTCCACTTATAAGTAGCTTGCTTGGTATTCTCTCAATATTCAAGCGCTGCACCATTTTCTGCGATAAAATATTTACTTGCGAACCATTGTCCAGTACTGCTCTGCATGGAAACCACTTACCACAGCTACCTTGTAATAATATACAAACAGTAGACAATAGGATTTCCTTTGACACACAGGTGTTATGAACAACCGCGCTACTAGTATGTTCAATCATGCTTGAGCTAGAGGTAGAAGCAGTTGGTGTGTTGGTAATGACTGATTGCGGTATATTATTTGCTGCCGATACCGCATTTCCATCACTTGATGAAATTGGCCTTGCTGACTTCTTTTCAAATGGCAAACCATGAAGCAATGAATTATGACGATACTTACAATGACGGCAGCTCGTCGACTTACAGTCTCTTGAACTGTCGCCAGCTGAAAGACAGTTGAAACACAATCTCATTTGTTTTACCGTATTATATCGATAAATCAGCTGCATAGATTTGAACTTTGGACAAAAATACAATGCATGCGATTGTGAGCACAAACAGCAAGTCTCTCGAAGTCCCCTAAAATTCAACACCGTTGCCTTCCTCTCATGAATTTTCATTCTAAATTGTCTATTGGCGACACTGCTGTTCTGACCTTCATATGATTCAAGTGAACTGGCTCTTGACTTCAGAAAGGATTTTAATTCTGTGAAAGTTACATCTTCTTTATTTCCAGTAAACAGGTCCCATTGTTCAAGAGTTTTAAAGTCTAGTTTACTTCTAGATATACCTATTAACCAATCATCCCATTGATCAACTGGTCTTTTCAATGATCTTAAAGCTTCAATGTGTTTGGTTATCCCGGCTAAGTATTCACGCAGGTCCTTTGATGTTGATCCACTAAGTCGACGTAGCTCTATCAGTGATCTGATGTGCGACTACGTAATTAATCTTTTCTTCTCATATCTTTCTTTAAGTATTTTTATTGCTGCTTCGTATGTCGTTTCATTGATTTCAAGAGACTCTACTAAATTCACAGGTGCTCCCTTTAGGCACGATCTTAAATAATGGAATTTCTCAGCATTTGATAGACCAATATCATTTCCTACTCTATTCGTGAAGGCGCTATAAAATCGTGGCCATTGAGCATAGTCTCCATCAAAAGTTTCTAATGGTAACGGAGGTAAAAAGGAGCGTTGACGTGGCGGGTTACATAAACTCTTTGCAATTAATTGTTCTATTTGTTGTATTGTGCTTTGATTATCTGTACTACTACTCATTCTGTTGGTTGAAGGCGTTGGTGGATTCATTATGTGGCTAAGTCTACCTACTACGTTGTGGGTACTTCAATTCAAAATCTTCCCTAGTTTTTTGATGCTCTTCATCATTTTCGTAGTCTAACTCCTCTATTCGTGACTGTGTGTCTTCAAATTGACTTAATATAGACGGTAAAACATTAAGCCTAGATGCCGCTTCTGCTATTGAACTTGTTGAATTAACAAATTTATCAAGGAAGGTTATTTGTCGAGTTAGAGAAGACTTTATTGTACCTCTACGCCTAATTAGCGTCACCAGGATGACATCGTTGGACACTTCCATTTCTGTAACATTCATCTTATTATTTACTAAGACTAACTAGTAATCAAATAAAAG